AGAGAAAAAAAAGAGAAAAAAATAAAAAAAAAAAGAAGAAAAAAAAAGGCAGCCTGGAGTTTGATAAAAAAACCCAAAAGCTAAAATATTAAAGTAAAATTCCAGTGTCACTGTTTAAAATGAACATACAGAACAGGAGTAAGCAGGGGATGGGCACACACACATCAGAGACGTTATCCTTTAATGGAAAGTAGTGGGCTGCTGCAGGAAGGGTGGCTGATCGCTGCTCACTAGAAAGCTGCAGGCATCTCGCCGCTTAGGACTTGTTGGCTGAGCCAGAGGAGCGGCGCAGTTTCATGGACATGCGGCTCTTGCTAGTCCGAGGAGACATTGGAGAGGCTAAGTCTGTTCCATCCACCTGTGCTGTTGCTGCTGCTGCTGGAGTTTCTCCCAGCTGAGTCTCTGGGCAGAAGCCTGCAGAGGACAGCAAGAAGCAGACGGGTCAGTGCCACCTTCCGCACTCGCAGCGCAGGATCTAGTCACAAGGGGCAGAGAGGAATTTCAGTGCTGCTGTCACTCCCACAGCATCTCCTAGCCCTTTACCAGCTGTGAGTGATGGTACCACACGTAGAGTTAGCAACTACCACATGTCCACTTCTGGAGAAAAGATGATGCCAGAAACCACTGAGCTACGGGACTGCAGAACGCCCTCACTCTTGGCAACTGAGGCAGCACTGAAGTGGGCAACGTTCTCCCGCTAACTGGGAGAACAAACACCTCCAGTTCCCTGGCAGGGATAGGGTGTCATTATCCAAACCACAACCCAGAAGAATCCAGTCTTTAACGAGAACATGAAGGTTAACAGCTCGTTGTGCATGAAGGGAGCTCTAGGAAAGCAGCTGAGGAGGTAGAGTGAATCAGGGGCCAACTGGGAGAGCAAAACATCTCCCATCCCAACTTTAGTCGGTGCTTCAAAAGGCAAATTCCTACAGGGCCCACAAGGCAGAAGCTTGAACAGATCATACTAACTGGATGCACTATACATTAACGTTTCTTTGTAAAAGGAACAAGATGAATTTGAGACAATGGTTTGTAGTTCATTAGCCCAGCACCTAGAGCTACGCTGCAGTGGGCCCTGAGTCCTCACTGAAGAGGACAAGGCTCTTCCTTACAAACAGCCCTTCTCCAAATCTTCTTCCATAGAAATACAAAGGAAAAGGAGAAAATATGAAATCAAAAGTACGTTCTCCTTCCCATGTACAGCAAATTAACACTATGAACTCACATCCACAAAACTAAACTGCGTTTTAATTAGCCATTTATAGAGACTGACAGCCTGATTGAACTCAACTACCACAGTCGTATAAATTACGGACAGCAGCTCAGTCCTGCAGAAGTCGATGGAGAAACCCCTGCTGACTTCAGTAAGCCAGAAATCACTGGCTGTTTCTTCCACACCACGCTAGGACTGGTAATTCTTTAAAATAATAATGTAATAATCAGAACTGAAGCTCTCCCTCACTTAGTACACATTTCATATATAAGGGGTGCAAAAACCCATTCAAAACGGATCATACTTTATTTTGAAAGACTCCACTAAAATCAAATGAGGTTATCAGGTAAGAAATCTAAGAGTCCATTTAAAACATATTGTCATAAACCTCTGTGATTTAGTGACCTGGCTGTCCTCCTCCCCTGGTCCATCACCTGCCTGGTCCAGAGGGATGGCACGGTACTTTCTATCTTTTCCAAACTGACACAACCCATCGAAGTGACAGGGAGGAGAAAGGGCTGTTATTTGTTCCCCAGCTGGTGACAGTAATTCTGTTCATGAACTAGGTACTTCATTGCCAAACAATCTGGAAAAGCATGATAATGCCTGACTCACTGTGCCTTACAGAAAAAGGCAGGCAGGGAAAACATGCACTCTCATTTTCTGAAATTCTATCTTGTTCTAATTTTACAAGGAATTAAAGCATTTCAAATGGTGGAAGTTAGAGAATAGAAAATAACCGTTGTTGTTTTGCACAGCATACCATTCACAGCTAGCGTGAAAGACCTTCCGTTTCAAGCCTTTGCCCTTTACCTTGATGTGGCCAATGCTTTCTAGTGGAGGTTTTGGAAGGAGAAGAAATATCACAGCATTTCTTTCTTTGTTGAGAATGAAGAAGTGATGAGGAAGGAGGAGTGGAAAGAAGTGAGGAAGGGGGAGGAGAAAAGATAAAAGATAACAGGTGTGAGACATGAGACACGAACTGCAGAGATTGAAGGGTATTAACAGATGAGCACAGAAAACGGAATTTTGAATTTCATTATGCAATTGCTGCTCATGCTACAGGTTAAAGAGAGTGATGAGTTAGTTATGTGCAATGAAGCAACAGCTCTGAAATCCGGCGTCATACTTACCAACTAAGCATTACAAGAAAAAAAGGAAGAGAGAGAGAAAGAAAAGAATTCTATAACATTATCCAGATCCAGCAACCTTATTCATAGCAACTGAGACACATCCTAAACATTGTCTGAAATGCTTGCTTAAAGTCTGTGAAAACAGTTAAATACTCACACACATACACACAATTGAGAAGGAAAAACAAATGCAACTCAATATATGGCTTCTGCTCCCCAGCTGTTTCACAGTATTAAGTATGCTAAAATTATAGCCAGTCTCAACAAGAGACTTCTGAAATCACATAAAGAAGAAAAAACACAGTATTTAAAGCTAGTTAGTCTGTGTTGAAGGGTCAAACCCGAGTGTGAAATTTTATCACAGGTTGGATAAAGAAAACCTTAACCCTGCCGCCCCCCTTCCGTTATTTCAATTAAGGTATTATTCTGGTTGTATCTCAAAATTTTCTTTCTAATTCCTGCAGACAGAAGCACAGATTCATATGTAATTGATTTTTTTTTTTAAAGAAACTGACTTAGAGCTATTGAAGAACAGAAGTCATGTAAAGTGATTTTCACATCTGAACATATCACACCAGAAGAGTGAAGAATAATGGCACTTAAAATACATGTCAAGTCTGACAGCAATCAACAGACTGATTAGTAACTAAATTTCTTTGGATTTTAGATAAGCATATATATCTATATATACATACATACGCACATACACACATGGCTATTAACTGCGGTATATAGAAATTTTGCAGATTTTGTTTCCCCTTCACAGTTTTAGAATCTTCAGTGTAAAATGTTATTATCTTTATCTCTCTACGCAATAAAATACTTAGTTATCCAAAATATAAAAATAGGGTTATAGAAGAAGGCTTTATTGACAATTGACCTAGAACCAGAAAGTTCTATAAAATAAACAAAATAGATGTGTTAGGATTTTTAAGAGGTTGAAAAATGTCAGGAAGCGATCCCTATTTTTCATCTCTTAGGCTTGGCAAGTGACAAATATCATAGCCTCATGAGCTACGATATTTTTGGGCTCTAATGTAAAGCTGTTTCAATTGCTTCTGAACAAGGAGGTGGATCAACAAAGTTGAAATGCGACATTTTCACACTCCATTTGAAAAATTTAGGGTCTTCGAGTAATAGTATGTTGGCTATTTGACTCAGAAATTAACTATTTAAATGTAAAATGGAATCCTAACTATACACAGACTGAGTTAGAAGTGAGGTGAGGTGGAGGAATCTGGAGGCATCACAACACACGCATTGCCATGACTCATCTCACTCGTCAGTTCTGACTTTCAAAGAGGTGAAAAATTCACTGAGCGGAAGCCTGACAAGGTGCTGATGATAAGACAGGGTGCTGCATGGTAAGACTACCCTGAGTGCTTCTGGCTTTATTGCACCTTGCTGTCTGGACCAACATTTTCCCCGAGAGCTATCTCTGAGACTGACCACAGAGGAAAATATAATTTGTACATGTTGGTAAATTTTGATGGTCTTTTAAGATATGTCAGCAACCCCCAACCTGACCTCCAGGGAGGTCAGGTTGTATAGCTCATGCCCTTTGCCACTCTTACAAATTCCAGTCCAAATCTGGCTAAGTTGTCTGTCATGCTCAGCAGAGCCTTGCTAGAGTCAAGTCAATTAAGTCTCTCACTAATTTTGGGAAATAAGGAAAGGAAGCGAGAAGTGGATGCAGGAAGAAAGACTGCAGAAGTAGCTGCAAAGCAAGACGAGGTGTTGAAGAAGAGATGGTCTAAAGACCTGGGACACTGCAACTGGGTAGCAAAGAAAGAACTAAGAGCCAGACAGGAGAAAGAACACAGCAAAAAAAAGATTAAGTTTATGGCAAAAGAGAGGCAGAGCCCAAGTCCAGTGAAGAATGCTCTTCAGAACCTGGCTGGAAACATAAGTGTTGGGTAAACCTATTCCTCTCTGTCAACTAGTATCTGTGAAACCCACTGGCAAAATTCCCAATCTTTCCACTAGTGGAGATTCAGGCAGAGGTAAGACAGCTTACCATTACTACCAATTATTGCCCTGTCTCAGTCTACAGGAGGTGCTAGTGGATCTAGAGGCTACAGTTTTGCTTACGAATCACGTGGCTGTTAATCAGTATTACAGAACTTCTCTTTTGCCCTATGCCTTAAAACAAAAATGGAAGGAATTACACAAGGAAAATGTTGTCACGACAATAAATTCATAAAGTCAAACATTCAAAAACTAGGAAATGTCAGGATTAAATTTAATTTTGTCCTCTTGTGTGTATGTACGGGATGCTTTTTAATTGGACAATCATACTCTATTTTCTTCAGTGGACCCATTTCATTAAATGTAGAAAGTTATCTATTTGGGTTTCTAGCATTCGACACTAAATTTACTACCTCAAAGTGCTGAGGATCATCAACTTACTGTCACCCAAGTGGCTGACTTAAGGACAATAGGTCAGAAATGCATAAGATTTCAGTTTCAGTTGTTTCAATATGAAATTTTTGGAAAATTTCTTAAGTTTTGAGGCTTTGCTCTGTTTGGAATGAAAAAAATTTTTTCCTAAGTTTGGACTGGAGAAGGGATAACGAGAAACTCTTCTGAGCCCTGCCAGACATTCAGCCCTCATTCCTGTATTTCAGCTTCACTTCCAATCACAAACTTCAACCACCACCATCAGTAAATGTTGCTTAGACCCTTCTACAATGAGAAAAGCACCATCATCTGTGAAGGGGTAAGACAGGGTCAAAAAGATTCTCAGTTCAAAGTAACACAGCAAGCAAGCAGCAGAAGAGATTAAGATGCAGGCTGTTGAATTTGAGTTTTTCTTGTGCAAGGCTGAAGTATTGTTACCTCTACATTCCCCTGCTTCCCTGCCTGTACGATGGCATCCCCACTTTGGGGTTCTGAACACAGGCCTGAAAATATAGGAATGATTGTTGGGATCAAAAAGTCTGATGCTTTTATCACAGGGAAAATACTATGAATAATGTAGAGAGGCCCCTTCTTTATAAGATTTACTGTACTGAGGTACTGTTTTTAGTAGGAAGAGAGGGGAAAAAAAAGAAGATAGAGAAAAACCAAACCCAAGACATCAGTACATTTTAAAGCTCAGAATCTTAGCATCATGGGGTCAATAAGCCCTTCAATATCATTGAGCTTACCATTGACAGTTTCCTCAACCTATTCTGTTGTCACAGAAATCTGGTTTACTCAATAGCTGTATAGGCGGCATTACTCTATTTAACAGAGTTATTTGCAGTTACTCCTACAGAGTCAGTGTAAAATAAAAAATACAGAGACAACTAAATTATATTCTGTGATTAAGTGCAGGTAAATCTCAATTTTTTTAAAATGTACACATCTACTACACTAGTCAGGTTCCTAAACATGGTAAGGTGGACTTGTCAATATTGTGACAGGGCAAACTAAGTAGCTAGATAAAACAGCTGCAGCCGTAATCACACTGTATTGAAGAGCAACCACTGTAAAGAAGGAAAGGGCTTTTGCTGAGGGCTGAACGTTTGATAAAATATGTCAGTCTGAGGAAATAGTTTGTTACCAAATGGCATGTTGTCTATTTGCTTTCATTATCATAGCTCAAATGAAAAAAATGGAACGCTGAAACTGGCCAGCAGGATCACAACAACAACAAAATTACAACACCTGGTCATGGGCTGTAGCAGCTCCACAGTTTCTATAGACCTTTCTTAGAAGAAGAAATCGTATATAATATTTTATAAAAATTAAACATATTCAGCAGTTGTAATCTTGGAGATCATGATCCAATTAAAGAATCAAGTCAATAATATCTAAAATGCGGAAATTTTTTCTAGTCTCTTCTGTTCAATTATTTCTCATTAAAAAAAGACATAAATGAAATATTTTGTATTTAAAAAAAAAATTGTGATCTATTTTTAGAAGCTGGTCAGAAATTTTCAGATGACATGGAGATATCCAACAAGGAGCCTGCCAGGTTTTGTCTGAGTCATCTTGGGGGTGATGAATGCATACAGATTCCCAGGCAGGACACCAGTGCCACTCCTATGTGCAACCCTGGCACAATTCAGAGCTCTGTACCCATCTTTCCAGAAATCTGCCTGTTGTAAGGACCATGGAAACTCAGGGGTATCTATTTTTCTAATAGCCCACCTGGTGGACTCTTTCTTGGGATCATGGTCTGTCAAAGTTCTGGGTCATCTGTAGTGACCTCACTCACAGGTCTGCCTTCACTAGAACTGGAAACCAGTGGTTTCCAGGCTAACCCCAAGCCCTGGGGTAACCTTTTTGGCAGATGACTGCAGTGTTAATTTATACCTGCCTGAGGCTTTAGAATTTGTGCCCTCCAGAGTCAGCTTAGAGGCAGATGGTGTGGCACTCTGTCCTGGAGCTGAGTATCAGAGCTCCAGGAGCCCCAGATCGAACAGGGGGCAGCCTCCAGGCTGCAAGCAGGACTGCCAGAGCACCCCCAGCTTCCCTGGGCTGAAATGAAAGCTCAGAGTCAGGCAGGTCTGGGGACAGGTCCTTTGACTCTGCCGCTGGGTCACACTGTGTTGCATGTCCATCCTAGGAAGCTCCTGGCTGCTCCTGACACTGATGTGTTGGTCAGTTCCACTCCAAGAATGCGGCCTTCAGGACAGGACATCATGTCTTGTGGTACGTAAACACACACGCAAACATGCAGATGTGAAATACATCACAAGCTCCTATTAATGAGATTCCTGCAGAAAATTATTACATTTGATAGAAAGGTTAAGTCTAAAAATCAAGTTTCTAAAAATCATAATCTTTTTCCAGATCATGTTAGAGAACACCAAGTACGACTAGGACAATTTTTAAAGGAATACAGGAATTGCCACTGTAGAGCAGTGTTCTCCAATGCACCAAACGAGTACAGAAAAGCAGCTCTGCTTCACCCCAAAAGAATGAACTAGAGGAAGAGGGCAGAACGAATTAGCCTGGAATGAGATTTCTGAAAGTGAATAGGCAGGACTGATACAAGTGCACTAGAATATATACTAGCCATACAAAAGTGTGTGGTGTTGAATACTTACTGAGTGCATTAAGTAGGAAATGTGTTGAGGACTGGTACCTCTGGTTATTGTTTTTAATGTTTCTAGTTACAGAATTTCCTATTCAAATGTTTTCATACATTAAATTGTTACTATTTTTCTATACTGATTTAATTAGTTCTAAATTACTTACTTTTAATTTTGTTTCCCTTTGGTACTATTTGCACTAGGATAACTACACCACTTATTATGCTTTGAAACTGCAACTCATTTCTACTTATGGTTTATACTTTCAAGTGAAGGAGTCTTGATGTTTTAACATCTCTCAGTCATTCTTTCTGTAGTCCTATCACAACTCTTCCATAATTTAGAATTTATTTCTGCTTATTTTTGCAACTGAGAAACAAATTTTGAGATAACTACTTGCCAAATTATTCTTACAAAATTTATTTTATTTAGACTTACAGCTTTTCCACAGAAGCATTTTGATTTATTCATCATGAAATAAAGGTTTCTGAACAAGGAATTTCAAGTGTTACACATTCTTCTTCTCCTTCTCTCCTATGTTATCACTGCAGAACGTCTTACAACATCAATGAAAGACAGTACAGGGTACAAAACACACCACTGCCATCCAGTACTACTTGTTCATGCTGAGAAACAAAGGTCAACACAATAAAGTGTTACTCATTCAACAACTGCCTCTATCATTAGTTACCTTAATCCCAGAACCAGTGTTAGTGCTTCATGCAGACCTGAGGTTAGTAAAAGACTAAAACTTTAAGAAGATGTAGTGGTCATTTCTCAATCAGTGTGAGATTCTTTTTAGTGTAAACAAGGGCAACAAGGAAAGTTTGCATACAATTTGGTTACAAGCTTAGTGCTCTAGTAAAAGTAAGAGGAACAAAGGGTTTTTTTGGACACTTTGTCTTACCTTCAGATAAACAGAACTGATATTTAATGATCTAAAAAGAGGGGAAATAAAATAATGAAATAATCATAAGGAGTTCAAGAAATGTCAGAACAGGAAGGCCTTGAGTTACTCATTTTCTTTTAGTGATTTTCTCATTAGTAACTGAAAATGCAGTATCCTCTTATAAAACGGGCATTTTACTAGAAAGGAAAAATGACCTTAAAACCAAGTTTGCAGCTAATAACCTGGAAACAAAATTGATGACTGCAAGGCTCTCAGATTTCCAATTTAAATCTTCACATTCCAAAAATGCAGGGAGCCTTAAAACTTTTTTATGAGGAAGGTGTACTTAGATTAAAGAATGTATCTACCTCAACTACCCTAGATGAAGGTGTACCAATGCTTCCATGGAGACTTTATACAAGGGAACATGATAAAATTCACTGTAAAAATACAGGGTCTGGTTGCTATATTAAAGGAGCTTGCCAAATCTCAATGCCAGGCATTGGCTCAAGATGCCAGACAACAGAATAAAGATTTAAAGGTAACATTGCCCCATTTCTCAAATATGTACATGTATTCTCTCTGATTAATGGTAACTCTTAATGACGTGCGAAGGTCTGAATTTTTAGTCTTTATAAGTAAGGATACTGCATTTCAAGTAAGATTGTACAAAACCAGTTCTTTACTGCACTTCTTACCTGTCTCTGAGGGCAAATGGTGGTAAGGTGCTGGACAGAAAACCTGAGCAGCAAAATCCTCAAATGTTGTAGGCTCTAGATGATGTTGAACAATTGTCTGCAGGTATCTTGCTCTCTCCTCATAACTGGTTTAGCCAAGAATTAAGGACGAATTTAAATCATGTAGTGTAACTGCTAAATATCAGTGCCCAGCAATTTGGAATTCTTGTTTTTGTTAAATACATATTATGTGTTTCAGTGACTGTACACACCTAATTTTAATTCTTTACAAAACTATGATATCATCTGATGCACTGAAGTAATATTAACCATAAGATAAACACAATTAATGTAAACCTCACAGTTCAACTATCTTTTTTTCATGCCTGATGCAAAACTCTCTGAATTTTTTTTTCAAACAACAGCAACTTAAATACTCTCTTAAGTAACTGATTTGCCTGTACTCTGGTCACATTTAAATATAAAAATGTTACAATTTTTAAGAGGTATAGTATGAAAAATAACCTTAGCAGTAACAAAATAAACGATTTTGCACTCTTCCGTAACAAACTGCTTCCATAATCCCTAAACACACACACAGAGTTAAGATAAATACATAGCGAAATTTGAGTATTGGGAAAAACACCTCATCAATTATGCTGTTAAAACAAGCAAGAATATTTGTAAAGAATCTGCAGGACCCTTAAATACTGGTTAACAGGGTGTCAGTAGGGCACTGACAGCAAAATACTGTACTTCCTTTTCCTTGCGTTCTCCCTCTCTGATATTATTGACAAGAGACCGGTACCCTGAAGTGTTGTTGCTTTTGAAGAACCCTCTCCAGGCTTCTTGTTTCAGCAGGCCTGATTGTGCTGTTAGCACAGAGAGAGCGAGAAAAAGAGAGAATATTTCTGCTGTTCATGAAAGCAACTATGGAAATGGCTGTCAAAATGTAGAGCAGCAGGCAGCAACATACAATTATCAAGAAAACCACCATGCTGACTTCATGTCGTATAGTTCCTGAACTGAGAAGTCAGTTAACCTTTTCTCTCACAACTGTCAAAGTCCTCCAGCTGGACTCAATACGTTGAATGAGGGAGAACTTCTCCAGTTATCTTATAGAACCGTAAAATGATCAGAAATTTTCCCTGGCATTTATGCTTGTGCACACTTTTTTTTTCCCCCCATATTTTGTTTGTAGATAGTGAGATAATTTTCTCCTTACATAGTTCTCTTTTCCTACAAAAACCCCAAAAAAATCAGCATGCTGTGGAGGAATGCACTCAGAATCAGTTTCTTGAAGGTTCTGGGTTCTGATTTCAGGTTTGCTGCTCTTTTTGGGGGTAACAGGGACAGTGAGGAAACTACCCTTCTGACCCAATTTTACCAGCTGTGAAATGGGCATAATATTCCTCTTGCACACATCTTCTAGCAATCCAATCATAAAAACTGCATTACAAGTGATAAGCGTTTTTAATATACAAGTGCTAACATTTAAAGTAAATAATGATACTATTTTCAGTTATGATAAGCAATTAAATTCTCAGCCCCAAATCAAAGCTGGAAACACCACCCTTCATCTTAGCCTATAAAACTATACTTCAAGAATTACAGAACTTTTACTACAAAACCTCTTTGCAGTTGTTTTCTGTACAATATTTACAGTAGATTTTGCAGTATATCTAAATATGAAAAAATGTATAGAGAAGATATGATCTGAAAACAACTTCTAGTGAATAAAATGATCTCATTGTTATTTCCTTAGACCATAGCTTGGTTACATAGTGAAACTGGGAAACAATTTTCCCCTCCAAAATCTGTGTTCCAAATTATTTCTGGATCCTGAGACTGCTGAA